TTACTCATAGATTCAGTCATTCTACGGCAAGCACACAAACAACACAGAAACATACACATGGCATATATAGACTACAGAAAAGCATTCGACAGTGTTCCACACAGTTGGCTGCTACATATTCTAACATGTACAAAACACATCCCTCATTGCATTCTTCCAAAACACTATGCAGCATTGGAGAACAACACTGCATCTCAGGGTTAGTAACACTTCCATATAAACAAACGAAATATTCATTAGGCAAAGAATTTTTCAAGGAGATTCCTTGAGTCCTCTCTGGTTCTGCCTAGCCCTGAACCCATCATTCAACATGTTAAACGACATGCAATATGGCTACAATATCAGACATGAAAAAACAACACAGTTTATGCTGTCACATCTCATGAACATGGACGACATAAAACTTTATCCAACCACGCAAAACAATTTCAGCAGCTCCTACAAATCACACATTCATACACCAAGGACATACAAATGGAGTTTGGCTTAGACCAGTGGTTCCCAATTAGTGGTACGTGTACCCCTGGGGGTACGCGAAATTGCGCAAAGGGGTACGCGCGGCAATCTAAAATCAGTCGATTTAAAATTTAAATACATGAGATGAAGCAATCAAAAAAATAATGGGGGACCATCAAAAATTCGGCAATTTAAGGCATGATGTTGAATGCACAAATTCATTTATTTATAACTAAAAATATTCTTGAAATTTCATTAAAAATGCATTTGTGACAATACCTAAATGAAATTCTTACGCAAGAAACAAAAAGTGTACAATTAACACAATTTGTGTTAATTGTACAATTATCACTATCATCGTGTCAGCGAAGGGGCAATAAAATATTTACTACCATTTTGCACAACATACCTCTGCGAGAGCGGATTTTCGGCCGTGACAAACACGATAACTAAACATCGTCACCGACTTCGACTCGAAGATGACTCGAGACTGAAGCTGACCAAAAAGCAACCAGATTTTACAAAGTTGTGCAAAGAAAATCATGCACATTTGTCGCATTAACATTAAATAACCTTATGTTATTTTCATTATTATTAGAATTGTATTTTAAAGGTAATAAATGTAAAAAAAAAACTTATTCTATCACTAGCTGTCTACCCACAGCTTCGCCCGCATTACATCAAATTTTCTCGTGGGAGTAAGATATTTTCTCGCAGTAAAATGTAGCCTATGTCCATCTCCAACATGTAAGCTATCCCTGTGCCAAATTTTATTAAAACCTGTTCAGCGGTTTAGACGTGAAAAGGTGACAGACAGACAGTATTATCTTTGAATTTATAATATTAGTATGGATTAATATGAATTTCTGCTATAAGGGGTACGCGAGTTTGAGCTCTTTCTTGAAGTGGTACGCAGGAAAACTAATTGGGAACCACTGGCTTAGACAAATGCAAAAAACTTCACATAGAAAAAGGAATCCTGAAGAAAGAAGATTTTGCAGTTGGAAATGGAGACGTTATTGAATCCATGGAAGAAGGCAAGTTCTATAAGTATTTAGGATTACAACAGGCCAAACTAACAGAACATACAAAAATAAAGAAAATATTAATTAAAGAATACCAAAGTAGATTAAATGATATCCTCAGAACACAGCTAAATGCAATAACACACATATGTCGTCCCAGTACTCACATACTCTTTTGGAGTTATACATTGGACTCACACAAATCTTCAGCAACTCCAAAGGAAAAAAGAACAACACTTACTAAGCATAAACAACATCATCCTAAATCTGCCACAGAAAGATTAACCCTTCCATGTAAAGATGGTGGACGTGGCCTGTTTGACATTATAAACCTTCACTACAAACAAATACAGTCACTGCAAGAGTTTTTCTACAAGAAACATCACAGTTACATAAAGCAGTAACTCTAGCAGACTCAAATAACACACCATTAAACTTACACTCACATCATAAAAAGCATAGACACCATCAAGCAATCATGGGCTCAAAAGGCACTCCATGGCAGGCATCCTTATGACCTGGCCCAGGATTTTGTTGAAAAAACTGCGTCAAACAGCTGGTTAGATCAGGGATGCCTCTTTGGGGAGACGGAAGGATTCATGATTGCCATACAGGATCAGGTCATAAATACTAAAAAGTACAGAAAACACATACTCAAAGATACAACATTCACAAATGACACATGCAGAAAATGTCACGTCATGCCAGAAACTATACAGCACATTACTTCTGGGTGCAAGCTCTTGGTACAGACAGATTATTTACACAGACATAATCAAGTAGCAAATATAATACAGCAAGAGCTTGCAAATAAACACAAATTATTAGACATCCACAAACCATACTGCAAATACATTCCACAGACAGTATTGGAAAACATCACACACAAAATGTATTATGACAGAGCCATAATCACAGATAAAACAATTCACCACAACAGATCAGACATCACACTCTTTGACAAACACAATAAAATCACATTACAGACATATCTGTTCCAAACACTCACAATGTACAAAATATATACAGTGAAAAAATCAGCAAGTACATGGAACTTGCCCAGGAAATAAGGCATCTTTGGAGGATGGATAGGGTGCTTATTGTACCTGTTGTTCTCTCCTGTACAGGTGTGATACCACAAACGTTACATAAAGCCTGGGAACACTACAATTGAATATAAATACATACATCACACTACAAAAAGGCCACTATATTGAATACATGCCATATTATTAGGAAATTCCTGAATACAGACACGAACACTGACACACTTATTTAATTTTAGTTTTTGGTTGCTATGCCTTGGCTCTGGTCTGGCATAGTACACAGCCACCAGTGTGAACCGAGTATAACCCACTAAACCCAACATAATAAACATATATAAAATGCTATAGAAATTCAACATATTTCTGATTAATTGAGAGAACAAATCACCTGGAATATAATCAGAAAAGATACAAAGGATTTCTATAAAGTTTACTTCTATAAATTTTGAATGAAATCACTTTTTAAAAATAAATTATCTTCAATGTTTTCAATTAATAATGTTTTTCATGAAAGTCACATAAAAATATGCAAAGTAAATTGATGAAAAATGTTTTATGAACATTTTTCATCAATTTACCAGTGCTGTAAAATCAGTGAAAATGTGCCAACTCCAACCTCTACAAAAACTTATACTTAATTAATTTATACTCTGAACTCTTTTTCAGCCAGAACATGCCAGTATGCCATATTGGCAGACAGCACTAAAAAGTATCCTTTGCCGGGCTAAATAATTACAAAGTAATTTGGCAGGAGGAGAATGTCTATTGTAAAAATAGATGTCTAATTTGATAAAGTTTTAAAATAAATAAATAATGAAATATTTATAATTTACCTTTTTGAATTTTCTGACATTCTTGACTTAATTCTTCATTCACAATAACAGATTTTCTATTAAAAAATGTTAATAATAAAATAAAGATATTTTAAAAGATGTAACATGAAAGTGCAAAATTACTTGCAATACAATATAAATACTAAATAAACTACACCACTAAACACCGGGATGTGTTAAAAAATGTACTCCTAGAACCTATAACCGGTGTGTCGTAGAAAAACACAAAAGAAAAAAGTTTACACCTGAAGAAGAACTCGCAGCAGTTTGAAAATGTTTGTGGTGAACTTTTTTCTTTTGTTTTTTTACGACACATCGGTTATAGGTTATAGGAGTACATTTTTTAATATAAATACTGATTTTGATACAATTATGATAGAATAAAGTAAATTTTAATATTAAACAGAAAACATATAGAGTTTTGATACTAAAAACTCCAGGAAGGAGTTCTCAATAACAGAACTTTTCATGTGAAAGTTTAAAAAATAAGAGAATAAGTGTTTTTACACTGTTTTTGATTCTTTTAAATAACTAGCTAAGGTACCAAGCTTCACTCAGAAAAATGATATATCAAGTAAAGGTAATATGATTATATAAAAATACATGTACATAAAAATATATATATAGAAAAAAAATGCACTTATAATAAACCTATAATAGATCCAATGAAAAAAGTTTTAAATTGAAAGAAATTGTAGGGACTCACTGACATCTGACAGGTGAAAATGGACAGTATTATACATATTTTGCTGAAATAATAGGCTGAACAACTTTTACTAATGTCAATTTTATCCATTAATGATCTATTGTATCCAAATTTTATGGTTCACTTAACATCCACTGACCTCTGAGCAAAACTTCCTATTTGTAGGAACTTATAGGAACCAAGTATGAACTATTTACTCTTGTAAATGATATCATAATTCCATTAAGCTTATCAAATCAAATTTTTGGAAATGGAAAGTATCCTATGTCCTTCCCAGGACCATCTTGAATATACACTCTGCCATAAAAATTAGCATACTAAGAGGGGCTTGTCGTATCACTGCAAAACTTGGCATGCAGATATCATTGGGATTGGTCCTTTCCTTCTGAAAAGCCAGATGGTCATCTCGCTGAATAGTCTGCCACCTAGGTCATTCTCATAACACTGTGAGGCGGTGTTGGAACCAGTGAACTGGAGAGAGCTCGCACATATGATGGACCAGACTCAGGATGCCCTCAGCAAACCACTAGCCAATCATCCTGAACTTGGTCGTTTGTATTGTTGTCTGCCATAGAGATACAGGTGGCTCCATCATTGCAGATCCCTGTGTCTGTCTGTAGCATTTCAAGACCTCTGAGTGAGGAACATTTGGTATTATGGCTGTCAATGGCAGCATATGGTAATACAAATGCTGCCATTGACAGCCATCCAAATTGCTTCTGTTTGGAGTGGTGTCACTCTCAACAGGATTGAACTGCAACGGATTGGAACTGGGTCATCTACAGCAACAAATCCAGATTCTGTTTGGGCACTGATGACGGCTATGTTTGTGTCTGGAGGCCTCCTGTGTTAATGATTTTAAAAAATGCTATGTACTAAACAGCATTATATTTTGCAGAATGCCCTATCTTGTGTAGAAATTCATTTTGTAGTGAGTGATCATAAAATTCTTCATATATGTACAATTGCATATTATATTGTACAAACAGTATGTTCCTGATACTTTGTGTATAACGTCTTTCTTTAGTTCATTGAGCTTGAATCAAGGAAAAATTTCTTTCAATATTAGCATTATGATCTGGTATTGAAAAGAAAATTCTATCAATTTTAAAAGCTCAAATATGCATTACTGCAAGAACACTCATTAACATATTTGGCCTAGACTGTATGTAACAGTTCCTGAGCAATGATGTCTTTGTTCTTTGTAAGGAAATTGCATAATATACATTTGATAAATTTTTTCAAATTTAAAATTGCATAAGTTATAAAACTAGTCAAAAAGTTTCACATAATCATATTGACCCCTTTGTTCTGCATATTTTTAAATACTCGTGCATTGCAATATGTCAGCACATACAACAACCTTGTGCACAGCCAAAGAAAAAAAGAGGAAAATCTTATTCAACTTTTTAATCAACTGTACTTTTAACTATAGTGTGAACTCTTTTTTTACTTGTGTGTTACCACCTGTTTCTTTTTTCCTCTAAATATCTGTTATTTAAGAGGAAAACAGTTGTTGGATAAATGATTCCATTGAGAACAGGATCATATTACCTGTAATACTGTTAATTAGTACTATGTACAATTAAACTTTATACTTGTGTGCTAAAAAACTGGCTGGTCTATTCTTCTACAATCTGTTAATTTGGAGGTATATTTGCATTTTTGAGCTGTCAACTGTCAGCAGAATCATATTATCTTTATATATATGCCAGAATTTTCTGCTTATAGATATCTACACAAACTGGTTGCACTGATGAGGACTGCAGAGTCCGAAATGCATTTCCAATGTTAATAAAAGCACATACTTTTTGGATCTGATCTCTGACTGTTTTCATCACTTGACTTACAAGGTGTGATAAATCTGGATAAATTAGCCAAATTTAGGCCACATCAAGATACATACAACAATCTTGAGATTATTTTTGTTGTTAAATTAACTTTTAAAAGCCATATAGACAAGATAGTACAATCACTGGCTATCTGCTGAGGGATATTAGAGAGGTTGCGGCCGACGTTTTCATCGCAAAAACGTGTACATCGGACGTTCAGCGCTGCCTTCCTGTAAGTCCAGAAGTTTGGCAATGGCATTTGGAACGTCAGTGGAATCATGCTCGATGTACCAAACCCCATTGTCAAACTTCTAGGCTTACAGGAAGGCGGCACTGAACATCCGACGTACACGTTTTTGTGATGAAAACGTCAGCCGCAACCTCTCTATTATGATGTTTTTGTAAAACCATATTCTCTAAATCTGTTTTACAGTCCATATTCTTTGCAAATTTTCAATCCCTCAGACTATTACTTTCCCATTTGGTCCATGGTGCTCCCTCTCTAGTTGCAAAAATATCCAGAGAACTTGATAAACTTCATCTACTTTTAAATAACTTTAGTAACTTACCACACAATCACTAACCCAAATGTTGCTAGACTAGGACTTCTGGATTTATAAGAGAAAATTAAATATTTCAATCATACTCTCTTTTTAAAATATTTTAACGGTCCAGTTCCACAACATTGGCTATGTCTAAGAATCCCTGGAAGAAACACTTGCAACACTACATGTATTTGTACTACTCATTTTCATTTGTCTTTGTCACACATATTTTTTTAAAAATCAAATGGGTAAAAGCAGATAATATGGGCCCAATGGCATTTCTACTTCACAAAAAATAACCTTGTTATAAGCAAGCATGTGGACACTTTTTACACAACTTTTAAATTTATGTTTACTTTTTATTTCTTTATTTTTTAATTCTTATTTTCACATTTTTGCTANAGGAACCAACCTAGCCTTGGTGTTTCTGTGGCAATGCATCCACAGACCACAAAGGCTGGAAAACCACGCCAACAAATGAAATGGACAACAGAAATGAACGAGTTTATCATCCGTACTTACTACACCATCACAAGACTCGAAACAAACATGACAGCATAGAGAAAACAACTACATCATAGATTCACACAACAATATCCTCACCTCACTATCACCAAACAAAGGGTTGTTGATCAAAAAAGAACAATTATACACAACAACATTATCCCATAAACAACACTTGAACTTATCAAACAACAGGTTGCTGATCAAATACATCAACAGACAGAAACATTTAACATTAATGAAGATCACATAACTTATCAGGATAATCCAGCAACAAACATTGATAATAGTACACATACAACAACTAATGATACTACAGACACTTCCTCATCCACCACTGATAACATAGACATAGATTTAGTTAATGCATTCTCACTTATATTTCAGGAGACACTCACTAAATATACAGGCACAGATCCCACACAAACACCACGAATACCGAAAATCAACACTTCAAAGGTAGTAGGGAAAACACTAAATTATGTAAACACACACTTACTACCACACTACATCCATTCAATTTCTACACTCTCAGACATTCATACATTAGTTTATGCTGGGGCAGTCACAGTACTAACACAACATGGACTGAAAATACATTCACAGACAGACACACACAAAACACAATTCTATCACAAGCCTGCCTAGCAGAGAAGAATAGAAACACATATAAATGTATTTGACAGCAATTAGGCAGGCTGACACAATACACTAAAAACAATATAACACCCAAATTAAAGAAACAACTCAAACATTTTCAAGAAAATCAAAACACACACAAAACACGAACATCACAACACACACATTACAGAATACATCGATACACTAAAACAAAAACTCGCAGCCAAAGCACGTAGACTCAAACGATACAAAACATGTACACTACGAAAACAA